TATCGATCGTAGTCCGATCGTAGAAATCAAAACAAAGCTGCAGCCAGCTGAATGACGTAACCAGCAAGACTTCAAAATGAATATTAATGAGAGGTTTGTTGCCTAGGCTATTTGACCAATCGCGTGCCACTGTCAAAATCATCACCACTACCATCTATCTCTTTGTTGATTTATATATTCTTTCAATCCTTATCATGACTGGCAAACAAAATTAAAAGTTGTTTGCAATCTTTGTCATTGGCAGTTTATTAAATATTTGGGTTGTTTTTCATATTTCAATATGGATTTCAGTATACACATTAAAATATAATTATATAAGTAGAAGCAGTTGGCGCATCGGTTGTGGCTTGGACTCCCAACCTCGAAGTCGGGGGTTCGAAAAACTCAATGTGCAAATCGCTTGTGTATTTGGGCAAGGCACTTAATCCACGGTTGCCTCTCTCCACCCAGGAGTGGATACCTGGTAGGTTTGAACCCAACTGCGCTGTTACTAGCTGCAATATTATGGAATTCTCCCCAGGGAGCTGAGTATGTGTTCCATACGTGTTTGATCCAATGACTGGGGTAGTAATGTGAAGTGCTTGGAGGCTTTGTGTATGAAGCGCTATATAAGACTGACATATTATTAATATACAGTTAAAATTGCCTAAGTTGACTGTGTCTAAGTCAAATAATTTCTAAGTCGATCTTATTTTACATGCCAAATTGTTGTGTTTTCCATTAATTAACAATCTGTAAGTCAAATTTTATCTAAGTCGAACAATATTTCAATGGCATTTTGGATTCGACTTAGGCAAGTTCAACTGTAATCAGAATTTTTTTTTGGTACTCAAAAAAAAACTTAACAATCCAAAAGCATTTTGCTTAAATTAACTCACCCAAATTGGGTTCTTCTGCATCATAAAATACTCCTTTTGTAGGAGCATATGTGCTCGGCAAAACATGTTGCAGTTACTGCAGACTACCACCCCATAGCCATCCAGCTAAATTTTAACTATAAAAAATATAATATAACAGATTTTGAAGTTGTACTTAAGAAGCTTAATGTAGACAGCACCATTCTTATCTTTTTTATTATAAAGAAATAATACAGAGCATTTTAACTTACTGCCTAATCTGTACATATAATAGCCTAACAAAACAAAGTATGAAGAAATTAGACTCAATCCGAAAGACTGCCAAGAAAATAGGTAAAGATGATATTGTACATTTAGATGATATTTATGACAAATACGCATTAGCTTGATTTTGCCCAACCATTTTATATTCCCTGCTGGAAATTAGCTAATGCATTTATTATTATTATTCTTCTCCATTTTTACTGTACTTACAGTTGTGGCGCCAGAGGGGGGGGGGGGCTGAGGCCCATAGCCCCCGTCAGGGAAGCATAGCCCCCCCTGTCGGGGAAGACGATAAGTTTTGTCGGGGAACAAACAAATAAAAAAAATATTTATACAGTATGTAATATTCGTTTAGCCACCATATTGTTTGTGTTAACTTTTCATCACAACAATAACAATAAATAATAATAATAATTCAATAAGACTAATTAAAAATAATTTGCATTCTGTTATGACAAATGCTCATTTAGCCTCATGATGGTTGGAATACATTGTGATAGGTGAAGCAACCTCGACCATGACAACATGGTTGACAGATTTCCTGCAAAATTTCCTAAATATAGAATTTCACTTTCAAGAATGAGGATTTGAAAATAAATTAGATTGTTACAGTACATTTCATACTCTTTGTTTCTTGTTTTATTTAAAATGTTTTGGTTTTGGAACCTGATTTCAACATTAGAAAACATAGCCTACATGGAATCGTATTATAGTAACTCGATGCCTATTAAATAAGTAATAAAAATTCGCCATAATTCATCAAATATCTGTGGCCCCCACCGGGGGCCCTAGACAGCCCCCCCCCCTGGCCTCAGCTGGCCAAGTGAGACTCGATTCACTCCACTAGCACACCCGTCGGGGCCTTAAGCCCCTCCGTCGGGCAGGTCCTGGTGCCATCACTGTGTACTTATATCCATGGTTACATTATAATTGGTCATAAAATGTATTATTTTATATAGTGCATATTAATTTGAATCAACATTTTTATGCATATGTAAAAGTGTACAAATTTGTCTACCCCTACCCTCTAGCATATAACCCTCATAACATATTTTTCTCCCCAACGAATTGTGATTTTTCTCCGACAGAGGAATATCTCACCGTTCCCATGTTTTTCGTCAAACATCCCATTCCGGTCTTAAAAAAATCAGTTGTAAATATTTAACATTATTACAAACATTTTTTCCTCCAGAGCCAGCCATTAATTTAAATTTATTAATATAGAACTTGCCTAGCCTACCTATTAGTATTGACATCCTGTCTGTGACAGGTCTAGTGGCTTAGCCTATCACACTTTCAGTGGCGTATCTAGAAGTATTGAAATAGGGGTGCTGATTTATATTAGACTGTCTATAAAAACCTGCAACACTAAAAATTGTTCCACAATTCTAGCTAAAAAAAATCAGAAGTAAAATTGTTCATTTAAAATACAGTAATCATATAAGTTCACTTCCAACAATAATTCACAGATTTAAAAGATTTAATGATGCACTCTAGATATTTTACTACAGTATCGTACTCGCATGAATAAGCGCCCCTCATAACGTGAAAATTTTCTTAAGCACCCTGTTTGAATAAGCGCCCCTTCTAATTTGAATAAGCCCCACCCCCCCATAAGATTTTCTTTTTAGCAAGTCAATAATCCAATCAATCCTGAGACTGGTTGTTGGCATGATTTTGAGCTGTAGAGTGGAAACACATTCTTCTTCGATATTTCTCTTGGACAGATGAGAGCTCCGATCCCTGGACAGACAGTATATTTCCAACTTTACTCTTTTTACATATTTGTCTATGCCTAGTCCTACTCCTCTTTTTCCGACCTTTAGCACATCCTCATTTGAGTTTTCAAGAAAGAATACAATGATCCTGTCATCCTGCTAATCTCCATCAGCTTATGGCCAACAAGCTAACCATTACCCACCACCACTAATTGCATCTGCTATTTTGCTGTTATGTAAATATTCACGCATTCTTGTCATGAGCCATGTTCTCTGGACGAGTATCTTTTCTAACCACCATTCATAATGTCCTTATATAATCTTTTTTCATTCAAAAAGTGCCTCTTGAATTTAATAATTTTCCATAAGAACCCCTCGATTTTCATCTATTTCCATAAGCGCTCCCTCGATTTCCACTCTGTTTTCATAACCGCCCCATTTAAATAAGCACCCCGTTTGAATAAGCGCTCCTTATTAGAAAGTGCAAAAAAATATTTTAAGCGCCCGGGCGCTTATTCGCGCAAATACGTACATTATTTAAAACTGAAAACTATTCCGCCATAGACCTATATTTAACGCCAGTATTAATATTGCGAATGCCGTTCGTGTGAACACTTGGAATTTTAATCCATGGATTAGCTTACGCTCGTGTAAGCTACACCAGTCTTACACCGTGTGTGTAAACATACTAAAGCCTAGTTAGTTAGAGACAAGGCTTAGTTAGTTAGGCCTAGGCCTACATACTACTACCTAGCCTAGTACAAACAAGACAATGCCTAGCTAGGGCTAGCCTACTACTCCTAGGCTAGCCTAGTAGTAGGAGGCCCTATTATATGTAGAGTTGTTTTTTTTTTGTTTTTTTTTTAGGCTAGGCCTAGTAGTAGGCCTATCTAGAATAGCAGTAGTAGGCCTAGGCCTAGTAGTAGTAGGCAAGTGCAACTGCTCACCGTAAACACATTCTGAACTTATCTCAACAAAGCTACTTTACAAACAAGCAAAATTATACCTAAGGCTAACCAGGCCAATGTCAAGCTAGGCCCTGGCTCCTTTTCTTGAAAGAGGAGTTCAAAGAATATTACGATGATATTCTTCGGCAGTAAAAGAGAGCTTACTAAATGGGTAGTAAACAGAGTACCCAGTACAGCGGAGCTGTGACGAAAGCAAGTCATCAAACCAAGCGTGTACTGATCTCCAGGACAACTTCATTGCACGACAGAGGGCGCGGTATGAGTACAGCCAGCAGAGCCGTAGATAGAGAGAGTTTGGCCAAAGATACTAGAAATACAAGATAGAGTTCTC